AAAACCGCCACCGAATCCGGCACATGGATTTGCTGCTGGCAATTGTGCAGCTACGTAAATAACAGGTCGAGCACGTCGGCCACCTACAATCGGCCGCTGTGGCGTTGGTACATAATACTCAGTCCACTGAGTAACTTCCCACGGTTCTTCGATAACTGCACCGGGAGTAGTTAAATAACCGACCCCACCATAGCCTAAGATCAAAAGATTGCGAAAATAAGGCAAGAAAATAGTGTAAAGCTTTTAATCAAAATCACAAGTATATAATCTTACCACCATATGGACTTGCGCCATAACCGCCATAACCGTTCAAGCCAGGCTGAAATATTCAAATATTAAATGAAAGTTTCTCAGCAAACGTTAGACAGAATAGTGATATATTAGTTATTGATGGTCAAAAAATAACCATATAAGGAAAATGCACACTTACCGCTGCTCCCGGACCATATCCAGCTCCATACCTAAAAGAAGACGAATGATAATCATCTGTTATACTCTAACCAGACAAAAACATACTGGTTCAAATAAGGATCTCCATATGGAGCAGCAGCATTACGTTGACCTCGATTACCCATTTGATCTACAAAAAAAAGCTTATGAACTATACTACCGTATAAATTAATTAAACCATATTTCTACGTAAATATTTATGAAATAATGCTTTTATAACTGTAATATGGAATGAAAAATAAAAAGCGGAAATACCGCTACTTGTAAGCGTTGCTATCACTAACCACGGTCTACCTGCGTTTTTGTACAAGTATAGAAACCCTTAACTCGTGTTAATAGTACAGAATACAAAAATAGCCGTAGAAGAGAGAAAATTTGAAATTTGATGATTGATCAATACGATCGCCTTTTATTATATTTTTATCTATCTATCTACCTATCTATCTATCTATTTCTATGTATGCTTCTCGCTCATTGTTGTTTATGTGATCGATTTTTGGTTTATAAAATAGAGAAAAACCAAGGTAAAATAAGAAATCTGAAAACGTGTACTAGGGATAAGGCAGCCAAGCATAACAACTACTTCTTTTTCACTCTCATCGCCGACACTGGGCACTACAAAGATTACACCGCACACACATGCACATGTATATATCATTTCGTTGCCTGCCCGCTTACCATCTAATAAAAAAAAAGAAACGGCACTCTTGGATCGAAGGTGAAAATTGTGTATTATAATTTGCACTGAAATAGGATAAATGTATGCAAGCAGAACAAAATAAAACGATTAGGTGATATTAACAGTAGTTTAATTTGTGTCTTTTCAAAGTTTGTTGATAACACGTGATGAAAGTTTTTCTAATATGGAAGCGGTGTTTCAGAAATTTACAATCAACTTCTCTATGGATGACACACATTTTACTACAAAGCAATTTCAAAGTACATTTTTTGAACTATAAATGGTGAATCTGCTAAATTTGCTAGTAGAAAAGAAAAATTCTCAATTCGTGTCTCTTTTTTCACTCTAAACGATAAGATACCTAGAACTTAAGAAAGCGTTTTATTGTACTGAGATGAACCAATCTATGCAACTGCACAAAAAAGACTGGAAAGTTGTTAAAAAATGTTTTCTACTGGTGGATAAAAATGTTCATTTTCCTCTATTTGGAATTGTATAAAACATATCGAAATAATTATAAAAAACAGAGAGACTCTAACAATCAGTCGCAAATCCCTAGTATTTACGCCCCTACCAGTCTTTTCATACTCATGGTGTTAAAGATTATCAAGATTTTGTTTGGATTATTTCTGTGTAAAAGTGTTCATACTTTGATTTTTTAGAAATTTCGTTATGACACGATCAGTGTCGAAAAATGTGTCTACAAACGTGAAGCTTATAAAGAAAACGATAAGAACAACTGTAAAACCTATGTAATTTACACTTAATTTCATCAAGATGGCATCAACACAGTTCCACTCAAAAGGAGAAACACATCTATGCTACATGAGGAGACATAAAAAACAAAAAGCCTAAGGAAACTTCTGGTTCAACTATTCTCAAAAAGCTCAAGCTAAAAAAATATTATTAGTTGTAGTTTTGTACGAAATTTCTTTCTACTTTAAAAATTTAATGTTGAGCCAATGATGAATAAATATTAAAACTGTAACATCCAAGTTTCCCTCTTTTTATTACGATAATATTTGGTCAACGTCCCTCAACTTAATTTCAATAAGGGCCGTGGGTACTTCCAACACTAACAATATCAACGATGCAGCATGTCTATTCCATGCATATTCGACATTAAGACCCTCATTACAGATGTGCAGAGCGTCCTTAATCTACTCTATCCTACCGTACACTGCAAGATGAGACAGGGGCTTCCACTTACACACACACGTACATTCGAGGTTTGAGACAAATGACCCCCCCCCCTGCCATTTTGTGCCCCCTAAAAATATTCTCTTTTTTCATATAAAAGATAAATTCATCTTTCGCATCCAAATGCTGTGTATTTTTCAGAACGTTAGCTTATAGTTTTATATACCGACAGATGCCAAAAAAAGTAACATATTCAAGTTGCTCGGCAAAAATGTTTAATATCGGAGAAATTTCACTTCTAACATTATATGAACACCTTCATTTACAATTTCTTAAAATTTAAAAATGTACCTCCTCAAAATTTTGTTTGAGACAATTTCCCTCAAAGGTTTCGTAGGATGGAAACTCCTGAGATGGGATACAGCTTGAGCTTTATTTTGGAAAAATGAATTATATCATCTCTACAATAGTGAAGTCAGCCAATGAAAAAATTCTCAAAATTTTCACACGGATCCACTAAGGCTCAACAAACAGCTACTCTACATATCTCTACCCAAGCATCACTTTTATTTTTTTATCATGCAGACGATTTCAATAAAACGTACAGAGATCAAAGGTTATAATGAGCCTTACAAAAAACTATTTTATCGGCACTAGTTAGCACAGATGCGCATCGGTGCCGAATAGTCTTTTTCTGGACACCCATGCACACCAGTGCCAGAAAGAATGTAAAAACCTCGCATCAATGCCGAAGTTTTGTTTTTAATCACCATTTTGTTTTGTCAATTTCTGTCGATACTAACACCACAGTATACTGTGAAAAAACAAGTGCCCTCGGGCGATGAATGGGATGCTTAAAATAGCCCATAGTAGAGCACTTTTCTTGATGGGACACATTTTTATGCTTGAAAGTGCCCGGAGGAGGGTACTCAAAGTGCCGCATTCATCGTTCATCAAAGTGCCTTTTTATAGCTGGCGGGACACTTGTTTTTTGAGAATGTAATACTTCTAATATTTCGAATGTCTTTCTGACTTCATCTTTTCCTTCTCATAAGAGAAGTGCCGACGCAATGCTGCAAGGTTTTGGCATGTTAGTGTGGTACAGATCAGTACCACACTCTAGTACAAAATTCAGTATAAACAACCATAATAAAAAACTAATTAAATTGATTAAATAACTTTCAGTGCGGCACTGAATTTTTTTGTCTATGCGGTACGGCACCCAAACGGCACTCATTTTTACCAGTGCGGCACTTTTTAGGCAGAAATATATCGGCACTTGCTGAGCACGGATGCGCACCAGTGCCAGACAGTGCAGGTGACCGATGGCATGCCCACCGGTGCGCATTGCCAGTGCCGCAGTGAAATTCTTTTTATAGGGAGTGTAATTTATGGTAATAACTCCGATCCAAAATGTCACACCATTTTGGAGTTATAAGTGTCGATACGAACACAGTGAAGATGTTATCAAAGCTCCTAAAGGTTTCCCGCTTACATTGCAAAGTTTGCAATGATTTTAAATTGATCTAGTCAACTTCATCTAACTTTCTGTCAAGTAGATTGTCAACTTCCTCCATATTTCGACATCCAGTTTACGTCGGAAAGTTGAGAAATGGCACAAAGAGCTTTCCGAAATGTGCAGTTTTTGTGAGAACGAGAGTCAATTTTAAAAATTGTTTTATTCTAAAAAGAAAAATTATTTACGGCTTCCGATTTATAACATTGCTGTTATAATAGCAGGCAATAGAGGCAAATATTACTGGAAGATGGTACAGTTCTTGAACTTTATCGGGAAACAATACTGTGAATAGTGTTGTTGCATCTCCTTTTCTATCATTACCACGATCAATTGATCAGTAATTTCTACTTTAGATCTTTGTAGCCTTTTTTTGATCCTAGTGTATATGTGTTTTCTTTGCTTTTTTCCACTAGATGAATCACTGATACCACACATTTGTGAAGAACGTTATTTCATGCAAAATCTCTCAGCTAAAATATGCCCATTATTTACAAATGGATTTCAATTACAGAAGTTTTTTTCAAAATTATAGTAATTCAATTTTTGGAGGAGAGGGATCTTAAATAATTGCAACAGGCAGGAATTCAAATAACAGCAATGTTATAAATCGGAAGCCGTAAATATTTTTTCTTTTTAGAATAAATCTAAGTGTTTTCTTAGTAAATCTAGTGTGCACGTCATTTATTTATCAGATAATAATAGCAAAAACAATAATTGAAAAAAAATTGTGTAAAGCCTCTTTTAGTAAAGATAAATTTCAAAAATTAATCACATAGATTCACATTTTAGGATGCGTCCATCTCATGTTAGAAGAAAAATTTTGCTATCACGTTTCATTATGTTACGTTACGATCTCCTTTAAATTGAGTTAAGACTGAGTTAAGACATCCAACACTATTACAGAGTATTTTGGACTTTAATTTAAAATCTTTGATTATCGATATATAAGATATTTTAAAATGAAAAACTCGGCTTTGAAGTTATTTTTAGTATTTTTGCTATAATTTGGTATGTAACTGTTTTTAAAACAAATACCTCTGCGACAGTACTTTCAGTCTTTATAATAAAATCAGATAAAATTAAGAAGAGTCGTAATATAGCACAATGAAAACACTGAGTTTTCTTGAAAAATTGCGAATAGTAATAGCTAAAGACTCTTAACAAAAACGAAAAAAAACTATTTTATTGAATTTCCAATCAGTCACGAATATTGGAACCTTACTCATTTTTACTTTTATTTGACAGTATTTCTACAGAAATACACATTGGTGTTTTGATTTCATATTAAAAATAGATATGTATCGATCGGTAACGTAGTGCAACGTATGGTCTTGTACTAGAGTAGTAGCCCACTTAACAAAATTAGTATCGTATGCAGAAAAAGCTCTTATGTTTTTCTTCAGTAAATATTTTTTTGTTATTATTTGTTAAAAGAGAAAAACTTAACCAAATTCATTCTTTTCTTACTGCATCAAAACTGACTAATCATTTAAATAATATCTCATATACCATCTAAATTTATCCTAATAAACTACAAAAATAGCTGCAAGTCATATATGTAGATGCACAATTATAATTATTCAGAACAAATGAGAAAGCCATACGACACAGTTAGAGACAAATAAAATTGGAACATTGATTTAAATGTTCGCACAATATTGGTAGAAAAAAAATAAAATACAGTTAACATAGCCTGTAACTAATTTTTTTGATTTAATGCAAAGAAAAACTAGAAAAAGAGTGTTGAGAATAGTTTCACAGCACTTTCATCACCATACACTTTCGTCATCAGGTAACCGTGAAATTTCGTCACATGATGAAAGTTCTGTTTTCTAGTGACAAAAATTCACCCTGCATGTGACAGAAGTTTTTGCGGAATGTGACGAAAGTTTAATCACGTTTGAATAGTGGTGACGAAAGTTCGTTTTGTCTAAAAAAGTGTCGACCTGTCTAAAAAAACTAGACACTTTCGTCACACGTTGCATGGAACGGTTGGGATGAAATCAAGGTTGTAGTGCAAAGTTCATTAGCCTAAAGTGTAGTAGCGCAAGCTGGAGTAGTCCAAACTGCAGTAATGCAGACTGTAGCAGTGCAAACTGGAGTAATAACTTCTTGCTTTTTTCTTACGCTACAAACATTGCGTTCTTAGCGACACGCGTAAGAAATCCTTCTAAAGTCTTTTTCTGAAGTCAAAATATCAAAATCAAGCGTCTATTGTGTTCGGGAGTAGTTCGGTCTGGAGTAGTCCATACTGCAGCAGTCCAAATTGGAGTAGTCCACATGTACGTAGTTCTATAGTATTAGTGTGACAAAAGTTCTTTTTTCTATGTGACGAAAATTAACGTGACGAAAGTGCTATTACCCTTGAGAATGTTTTCAGTATCACACGGATGCACTACGATATTAACATACAGATACATTATTCGTATCGATGTACACCTAATTAAAAAGTATAAGCTATAGCTTTCTTATTATCATCGTTGAGCAATCGATAGATTACGATTTGTAGACTATAAACTGAAACATATTAACGCAAACATTAACTACTTTTTCGAACCAAAACAGAAATGTGTATCTTGAATAACTAAAATCGAAAAGTAGATTTGTTGAATCAGAAACTTTTTTGTGAAAAAAAGATTCAAGTTAAGCATATTTTATCCAATCGACAGTTTTCGTACAGTTATGTGATGCATCCGATTCTTAAAAAATTCATGAGCAATAACAATATGATACATAAATGAAAGTGAATTTGTTCAAAAAAATGATCAGTATTCAAAATGGAACTTTTATCGTCGATTGAAAGGATATATTATCAGATTATTTCAGATTTTTAACTTTGAAATGTCCGCATTATAAAATGACCTTCTAAAAGAAGGAAACGAATCAAAATTAGTGATATTGCAACAAATATCACTATCACATCGGATCAACCAACATATTTTTTTAAAAAGAAAATCTTGTAAAGAAAAATTTGTTAATAATAATCACATCTCTGTCGAGAATTAACCAGTGCAAACACATAGTTACGTGTTCTACAGCACATACGTAGATTTTTGCATATTTAATACATATTTCTTGATCATAAATATTATCTGTTATACCGTACATTTCTTTTTAGTTCTTTAGTTTCCAAAAAAACTAATCTATGTAGTGCTGAAAATATATAGGAAAATGTTTAACCGCAAAAATATCGAACATTGTGGAATTAAACCATCATTGATGAGCCAATATTTATTATCAGATTTACATGATGTAGACTATACTCAACATATACTTCGAGTGTTTTAGCACCTTGAAGGTGGCTAGTAATGATGATAGAAGAAAAATCACTTATATCAACTTGAAAAAGTAGCTTTGAAACGGTTCAACATTGTAAACGTTGTTTATGGAACTAAACAATTCTTTGTATTCGTCATTTTTTTACATATATCCTTCAAAGGTGCGCTCATAGTTAACTATAAACTCAACAATAATACCTCGACCTGTTACGAAATATGAATATCAATTGATCAGGCGGACGGTTATTCAGCATAAATCTCCTATTTATTTATATTATGTTTTTAGTCGGTTATGGGCCCTCTTTGACTCCTAACTTGCCATATTATTCACACACACACATACACACACAAGTTAATGGTATTGATTTTATCGATTTTTTTCCTATTTTGCCAACTAAACGTATATAATTATATTTTTATTTGTGGTTATGGTATGAGGTTTCGTTATTCTCCTCTCTACTGCATTATACACCTTGAAATAAGTGTATAATAACCACCGATACAAAAATCAATTCATTTCAAACTTGTTAGGCTACACTAGCGACAGATATATCGGCTATGTTTCTTGTTGGTTATTCTATGATAAACAAACATATATACACTCTCTGTTAAAAACGGTCGAAGACACGAATTAACTTAGTCATTTTTTTCTCTTCAAAAATATAAAACTGTTTCTTTTTACGCGTCATTGATCGATGAAAATTATAAACCAACTGTATTAGACGTCCGATGAAAGAAAGATGTTTCTGGCCACTACCCTTGCGAACCCCCCTTTCATTTATCTGTTAGAGATTTTTTTTCCAAAGAAAAGCACCAAAAAAAATCTATGTTTTCGTCACCAAAAAATATGTAGAGTGGCTTATAAATTAGAATTCACTCTTGTTATTCCTATTACTCGAGTTCGGAACACTTAAAGGTAAGAAACAATTTTATATATCGTTGTATTTTTATTCTATCAACTTAGTTTTGATCTGCGGATATAAGAGAAATAAAAACGAGAGGAATTGAAACTTTAACTATCACCCCCATTGTGACTCATAAGTATCTTATTACACTTTTCAGATAGCTACCGAAAGCCCGGTCAACCCACAACTTAATTTCTAGTACAATAATATCAACACACACACAGATACAATATGGGAAGTCGAGGAAGTAGAAACGCAGCACCTGCCGCAGGCCTTGGAGGTTATGGAGGGAATTATGCTCCAGGTGCTGGTTACGGTGTCGATCCTTATGGCATGGATTATTATGGTGGAGGATACGATCCGGGTTATGGTTATACTGGCGGCTATGGGGGGGGTGCTTATCCTAGTTATGGAAGAGGCTACAACACTCGTTACATGACAACACTTGGACCAGTTGGGTATCCATATGGTGGAGCGGGAGGACTAGGTGGTTACGGACCTGGAATTGGTGGTGGTTACGGCGGACTCGGTGGAGGGTTAGGTGGAGGGTTAGGCGGATTAGGTGGCGGCTTTGGCGGTTTACCACCAAAAATCAGAGCCATTTTTATTCCACAAGGAGGTGGACAAGTCGCAGCTCCATGGTATGAGTAAAACTTATATGACATTTAAGCTAAAGGTGACAGTTGTACCCATGAAAGTATTCAATTTTTTTGAGCATTTCTCATCGCATAGTCTCTTCGATAAAATATTAAAAATAATGGATCAGGATGAAAGAGTCAGCTGTTCGAAAGACAACCGTAGCTGATTCTTGACTGAGAATTAATATTCGGAAGAGAGGGATCGGTTTAAAATTTCTACTCGTTGTACAAGTTAAAAATGGAGAAAAAATTCATAAACTCAGAAATTAAAGTCAAAAATATGATTTCTTATTTAGTTGTCCAATGCCTCAACCAATACCCCAACAAATGCCATGGTGAGTTAGTAACATACACAGATTTCTACAAACGATTGGAAAGATTATTTTTTTCTTCGCACTTTGCGCAACCTTAAATAAACCAAAAGATTAATTGTTGAACTCATACAATTAATCTTTTCGTTTATAAAATTATTATCAACAAATAATGTTGTAACTTTAAATAAGTCTGTTTACCTTGATTCAATATCGCTCCTAGATTCAGTGAACGGCAGAGCTCTAACGCACAGAATAATTTCTCACGGTCTGTTTGTGCGCTCCAGTTAAACGTACCTCACGAAAGATTGCGTTCAAATTCATATCAGAGATAGAATATGGGAAAAGAAAATCAATGTATTTTTGCGCAGACTTTTCCTGACATGCTCTTCTATGACTTTGATTTTTCTCCATGTATATTATGACCTCATCAAATCTTCATCTGATCGCGTTCAAAATTTTACTAGAGATACATGGCACGATATCTCAGAATGCGAATTTCTACTCGTTGTACGAGTTAGAAATGGAGAATTCATAAACTCAGAAATTATGATTTCAAGTTAATTATGATAAAGTCAAAAATATGATTTCTTATTTAGTTGTCCAATGCCTCAACCAATACCCCAACCAATGCCTAGTCCATGGTGAGTTAGTAACATACACAGATTTCTACAAACGATTGGAAAATTTTTTTTTTGATTTTCTTCCATCTGTATTATAATCTCATCAAAGCTTCACCTGACTGCGTTCAAAATTTTACTACAGATGCTTGGCACGATATCTCAGAATGCGAATTTTTTGTTTTAGGCTTCTAAGTTTTCCTTTTCGAGATATAAAAGAAATGATAAAACCCTATGTAAAATCTCGGTTTTTGATTTGAAAACCCTATAACTCGAAAGGAAAAAATCAAAAGTCAAAACAAATAATTTGCATTCTGAGATATCGTGCCAGGTATCTGTAGTAAAATTTTGAACGCGATCAGCTGAAGCTTTGATGAGGTCATAATACACATGGAGGAAAATCAAAGTTTTTTGCTTAGCGGAGCCCAGTTATAACCTTAGAGCTTCTATGCATAATCATAAAATCGGAGTTTCACATTTAAACCCAAACGGAGCTGCTCTGACACGATTTTCAGTCTAATTTATAATAGAATTTATCTTCAATTTTAGCTGTGGTATGGGAGGAATGGGAGGAATGGGATTAGGAGGAATGGGAATGGGAGGAATGGGAATGGGAGGAATGGGATTAGGAGGAATGGGAATGGGAGGAATGGGAATGGGAGGAATGGGATTAGGAGGAATGGGAATGGGAGGAATGGGCGGTAAGTTATTTTGTTTCTTCTTTGCTCGCTTGACAAGTCATAAACGAGAGTACGAAGCGAATTTTTTATAGCGAATCAAGCTGTCAAATCGTTATCTAAAGGCTACTATCTCCCTCAAAATTGAGTGTTCTCGAATTTGTATTCTGTTTTCGAGTTGTTCTTCCCGTTTTCATGCGATTTTCTGGATAATTTTTGATAGAAAATAGTAAAGGCCTTCGGTTTTCACGATTGTATAGCTAAAAATTGACATACTAGACTAATGGATATATCAAGTCTAAATCACTGCCGGGATGTGGTGTGCTACATTAGGAGGCAAGGTTTCTATTCCATGTTGCCCCATGCTAACCCGCATACTTTCCTCTGTGCATTTATGGTTCAGATGTCCTTGAAAAACTCAAAAAAGTTGGCGAACACATATTTTAGTATAATCTCAGAATAAAATCGAACTGCTGTTTTGAACGGATAGATAGTAAATGGTTTTTGAAAGACCTAATTAAGAATCTGGTGAATAAAAAATAGTTGTCTCACATTCTTCACCAAAATCATCATATGTAATTAGATAAAGTAACCGGAAGTTTAGTTTATGCATAGCGGATTAGGAGGAATGGATAAAAGTCTGGTTTATTTATCACATTTCTGTTTTAGTTTTAAAAGCTTGTAGACAAACGGATTAAAATACATACATAGCACCACATAATAAGTTTCCTACTCTCTATAAAAAATTCCGTAGCTTACAAGTCGGATAGCGGTTTTGACATTTGCTCCTAACAGGAATCGATCTTCGTATCGCACCGTCATGTTTAACTGTTTCGTAGAATACGTTTGAACATTCTCCTTGTCGTGCAGAAACTAGTTTAGATTTTGTTCAATTAAGCATGACTGTAAGATCCGATTTGTAAGCTACACATTTTTTTTAGAGAGCAGTCTGGAAGCTCAAAGTTCTTTCATACGTGAAAAGTAAAAGCGGACAGATTCTCAGCTACTGTCTTGTATAGAAGTATGATATATTTTTGAAAATTAGATACAAGATCAGTAATGGGTCGTAAGTTTGATTTGTGTTAAATCACAGTGTAGATATATAATAGTTAAGTTTTTCAAACAAAATGATAACCATTCTAATTCCATGCTACGTCTCTTTTTTTTGGAATCTATTTTGAACTATCCATATATGTCGAAACTATTTGTATGTTTTGTGAGTCTAGGCGAAGCCAGTTTCTGTTAAAATTTGAATGAACAGCGATCGATCATCATAACGGCAGGACCTCATCAGATACAATCGTGTAATAAGCTAACAGTTCATTTTATGATCTTTTTTGTAACAAGAGTGGAAATCAATTGCAAAATACTCGTTCAATTGTAGTTCCGAGAATAATGTTCGATTGTTAATTCAAAGAGAATTTTTTATATTTCACAGTAGGCTAATGTTGAAATACTTCTTTTACTAGGAGGATGTTGTGGCGGAATGGGTGGAATGGGTGGAATAGGCGGTTTCGGTGGAATGGGCGGCGGAATAGGCGGTTTCGGCGGAATGGGCGGCGGATTAGCTAGTTATGGTGGTGGTCTCCCAATGGGCGGTAAGTTCAAGCTTTTTGAATGCTTTTGTAAAAAAGTAATTTGTAAAAACTTACTTAATATGAGAGATGCTCTTTCTCGAAANTGGTGGTCTCCCAATGGGCGGTAAGTTCAAGCTTTTTGAATGCTTTTGTAAAAAAGTAATTTGTAAAAACTTACTTAATATGAGAGATGCTCTTTCTCGAAATCTAGACTCTAAGATCGGATAACTTTATCGTTCTCGTATTGGCTTTTGTGAAAGATTTAAACATTAATTCATACATTATCAAGAAGGTTACTTTGGAATTTAACGTTCTTCGTTTTAATCATATTATTTTCTTGGACTTTTTCGTTCATACTTGGAACAAAAATATTCCTCTTGGTGCTAAAAATGAGCTACATTGTAAGAAAACTTGAGAAGTATAGAAGAAAAACAACCTAAAATTCAGAATTGCTTTCTAGTTCATAGTTTAATGTATTCAGACCAGAGCCCTGCAGGTTGATCCTAACCTAACCTAACCTAACTTGACCTAACTTATAGATTAGGTTAGGATTAGGTTGCAAAAGTTATAGACTAGGTTAGGTTATACGTTATCTATTTTTTTTTTCAATGGTTAGGTTAGGATTAGGTTGTGAAATTTTTTAAAGGTTAGGTTATAGGTTGCCAAATATTGGCAACCGGCAGGACTCTGATTCCGACCTAATCTGATAATCACTAGCTTTTGTTTACATTCAGGTATGGCAATGCCTTCGTTCGGTGGCATGGGCGGAATCGGTAAGTTTCCTACTTATTAAAATGCTGTTAAATGTTTTAAATTAATACTTTTTGAAACTTAATTAGACATTATTTGTCACCCTTTTGATATACTAACCCTTAGTTACCCGTCAAGTTTCAGAAAACACATTCTCAAAAAAGCACATATATTATAATATTTTTCGCTTTTCTTTAAAGTATTTTAATTTTTATCGATTTTAATGACTGCGAAGACTTGTAAACACTGTAAATTTTAATTTTTTGATCAGAGAAGGTAGCTTCCAGGGATGTTCGAAATTAAATTGGCATGATAAATGTTGACTGAAGTGTAATAATCATATGCAGTCTGTGATTAGAACATGTACCACGGCACGTAATGATTCAATAAAATGTTTTTTTAACTGTCATGAATATTAACTCTCAACGTTAAGCTAAAAAATTTTTGTTGAAAACTGTCGCTGCACTAATCCGATTTTCGTTCTTAAATGATTTTGTTTTGTAGGTGGAATGGGCTTGGGTGGATTTAGTTCAGGAATGGCTGGAGGATATGGTCAAGGCTTTCCTTCAATGGGGGCTGGATTTGGAGGACTTGGTGCTTATGGAGCTGGTGTTCCGATGGCAGGAGGCATGCCATTCGCACCACAATTCGGTAAAAGTCTCACATTTAAACGAAATTATCGTATTGTTTGAACGCACCACTTTTGACAAAAGAGTATCTACTAGCATAAGATTTTTCGTCTAGCTAAGAGTTCTTTAATACAAACGGCTATTTATGATTTTTTTTAATTTTATTTCATCTTCTCTGTTTTGAATTCTGAGTTGATGCCAGGATCTGCAAATAAGATAGTATTACATTTACCCATATGAATTCCAGAAATGTTGGTGTGTGAATATTTCAATGTTGACTATGTAGTCTTTTCTTTCTTAGGCGGAATGGGAATGGGAATGCAAATGCCTTTACCAATGCCTGCACCAATGCCATCGTTCGGACTCGGTGGTAAGTATTGTTTTGTTACCATTTATAAACCAACACGTCTTGAGCATATATACATACATTTACTACTGCTTGAGGATATACCGACTGGTTCCCTATATCTTTAGAATATTGCTTTTCAACTGAGTATTGTCTAGTAATTTGCAAGCACCGACTTTACCCTATTAACTATAATGATATTTTCTTTTTTTAAACGTAGACACCAAAAACATATTAAACAGTGTACTAAATATAAAGTTTTATGTATTTGTTTATCCTTGCGATATTTGAAGTTGTCTAATTTTCTAAAAATCATATTATATTGCTATACTGTACTGAAATACCTTTCACCCATTTGATGTACCAAACTTGTTTTATTTTATTCAGGTTTCGGAGGTGGCGTTAGCCCATTCGCAGGAGGT